GACACCTCCTGAGTAGGCCCCCAGACATTTGTATGCACATAATCCAGAATGCCCTTAGTTATGTGTTTCCCTGTCTGAAACTTCACACATGATTGTTTGCCAAAGACACAATGTTTGCACAAACCAATACCGCAGTATTTAAATAATTTTAACAGACCCCGTGTGTAAACGCATACATCCCACTCTCACTCAAATGTCCTAACCTCATATGTCAAACATCGCATCAAAATTATCAGTTCCAGAAAGAGTAGATACTCCATCTACGACAGTGTTTCCAATCAATTTGTAGATGTTCCCGGCCTCCCTCACACTTTTCATTACTGTCAATACCCTTTTTGTCACCCACAAGCTATCATCATCAGTACGGTATTAAAAAAAAATAGCATGCAACGATCCCAGTGAAATCAGATTATTTTTCAACTCAAGCACATGCTTAACATCGCATACTGTCCTAACAAAACACCATCAAACATTTTTAATTTGATATGTCCCTTGCCAACTACATCACACATTTTATTATTTCCAAGATAAATATAACCAAAATTACGGAATATATATGACTGGAACTAATCCTTATTTAGGCGTCATATGAAAAGAGCATCCTAAGTCCAATATTCAGCAATCCGCAGCCTTATCTGTGGAAACAGATAACATATCTTCATTGCTGAAATCTAAATCATTTCTTTTGGACTGAATTGATAGATTGGGAAGGACCCCCATTATGCCCATCTACTTGTTTCTTCTTATTTTGGCATTCTCTCCGAACATGAGCGAGTTATCGGCACTTATAGCAATGAACGTTCTTTATATTCCTTGATTTTGATCGATTATTTTTTTTTCTTCCGCCACTGATTCCAAAATCACTCGAACCATTTATGTGCTGCTTCCTTCCTCGATTAATATTGTCCCACACATACAAACCTTCATTTTGGATGTTTTCAGAACTTGCCTGTCGACGCTCATTATGAGCAAGTAAAGCAATTATTGTTGTATCCAGAGTAATCATATCATTTTTTGATTGTAAGTGACAATCTCAGTTGTTCATAGGAGAACGGCATATAGTAGAGGAGAATTATAGCCCAATCCTCATCCTCGATTTTCACTCCGATCCGATGCAGATCAGAAACTACTTGATGGAATGAGTTGATGTGTTGCACCAGACCAATTCCTTTCTGCATCTTCATCCTATATAACCATTGTTTCAGATGTAGTTTGTGGGTCAACGACTTCGACATGTACTGATTTTTTCCAATTTCTCCCAGATCTCGATCGGCGACTCAAGATCCATCACATGGTACATAACGTCATTGCCCAGACATAGCCTGATCGTCGTAGCAGCCTTCACGCGCATCTCGATCCATTCAGCCTCTTTCATCCCTTCTGGTTTTCCCGATATCATCATATTCGACATCCCTTGTTGTGCTAGAAGATCCTTCACCCTACGCTGCCATAATGCGAAGTTTCCTGTTCTATCGAACTTCTCCATATCAAATCTCACCATAGAACCCATGGCTCTAATACCAATTGTTGAAGTACCTTGAAAGATTAATCGACTAACACACGCGACGATAAATCAAAGATAAGAATATGAGATTTACAAGGTTTGGCCAAGATTGCCTACATCCTCGGGTGTGTGCCGTTTCTATTGCCCGTGAATTATTTCTTGTCATACAATATACAAAATTCAACCAATCAATAACTACAAAAACAACCCTACATATCCCAGATCATTTGCCCCGCTCCGTACTGCGGGGGCTCCGCCCCTACATTTCCGGATCTGTCGGGCTTCGCCCAACCCAATTCCCACCCCCAACACACTTGGTTCAGCCCCATCGATGTTGAGCCAATTTCAACAAGACTCGAAGTCGTGCAATGGCTCTACCGCCGAAGCCGCTCCCCAATCCGACGACGGACAGGCTCTGTGGAGTGCTATCGAGACGCACATAGCTTGATTCATGGTGCTTCACATTTAGAAGAGGCTCGAAGCCTTTTCAAAAAAATCTAGGTTGGAGCCTCACGAAAATTCGTTTTCGGTTCCAACACCTTCCTCTCATAATTTTCATTGTCATTGTTGTTTTATTATGGAATATTACAATGATTTAGAATCATTACTGATCGTCGTTATTTTGTAAAAAAAAACTAATACTTCTCATGCCTAACTAGAAAGTATGCACATTTCCATTTTGGGATGTCTAATTACAAAGTAATCATTTCATTAAATACCTCATTTTTTTTCTACAAATACTATTACTTTACATCACATCATTACTTTACACTAAAAAGTAAGAGCAAAAATATCATTACACTACTTTTAACTACCCATTATAATTAAAATACTATTATTTCTTAAATTCCGCGCCAAAAGTAAATATTTACTTTGTAACGGGACAGATGGAGTAATAAAAATAAAATGAAAAATTGTTTGCATATATTAAGGGTTTTAAATTATATTTGATAGATGAAAATGTAAATAAAATATTATTTTGAAGGTAAAATAGAAAGTTCATGGGTGAAAATATATAAAATTTATAAATGAAAAATTATAAGTAATAAATATGGAATTAAAATGAATGAACGGGTTAAAAAAAATGGTTTTAGAATTAGAAATTTTAGGAGAATTAAATGATATTATGTATATATTAACTTATTATATGTCACTATATATATTTTTTATATTTGAAAAGAATGTGACTTTCACTTTAATATATATCGATGTATATCACTTTATTATTATTAGTATTATTTTTATCTTCAATTATTTGGTGTTTTTTTTTTTTAAATTGTGTTGTTTAATATTATGACAAAGAAAACAATAATAATTAAATGAAAATGATTCAAAGTCTAAAAAAAATTTAAAGCCAAATTTTGAAAGAAAAAAAGAGGCAAAAAGAAAAAGTGGTGGCGAAAAATAGATGAAAAAATATGTAACAATATTATACTTGTTATGTAATATATAATGATATAATGGTGTTAAGTATATAGATATATGTATACGGCCTTGAAGGGTATTAAATATATATATGTATATATTTATATATATATATACATGATGTGTGGATATGTAGTGAGGTTATTATTATTATTATATATATATAGATAACATAAGTGAGTAGATGTAATGATGATAAGAGTAATGAATTTTTTTGATACAGAAACCAAACAGAGAAGAAATTCGGATGTTATTTATGTCCACTGCATTTTACAATTCACTCATATATATATATATATATAGGCACATCAAATTCCATATTGATTGAATAGAAAAGTATCCATGTATCTCTTACATCACATGTTAGTGTATTCTACGTGTTTACTTCGTAATAATACTATAATTTTTAGTTTTTATATTGTATTGTATATAAATAAATTGATATAATTTTATTCTTCCCGCATATTTTATATGGATATAATATCGTTTGTTCATCAAGTTATTCCTATATTAGTTTGTATTTTAATAATAAAATAAAAACAAAAAATTTATTTATTTTTATTTATAATATTAATGATAGTTAATGATTTAATTTTTTCTAACAGCTATCTACAACCATCTATTATGAATTATTTGAAATATAACAAATTTATATTGTATAGAGCTTTTAGGTATTTTTATTTTTTTTTTCAATTTCTCATTTATTTATTTAATATGTATATTTGATATACACTTAAGCTAATATATGTATCTTTACTTTTACATGTATTCTACATATCTTTCTTTAACAAAGAAAGTAAAATTAATATATATATATTTTTAAAATTTATCATTATAAATTATTTGATTTTGTTTTTTTCATATTCGAAGTAAACAAGTAAAAAACTTACATTAATTGTCTATATTTGTTTTCTAATTAAAAATATTTCTAATATATTTTGTATTTAATTTACTTTTGTTTATTTTACTATATATTAATACTACTAATTTATTAATATGTTTATATTTATTTAAATATAATGATATTTGATTTAAAATTAAATTTTATTTAGAAATTAATTGAATATATAAATATTAATATACAATTTTTAATTAACATAATTTTTAAATATAAATAATAATAAATTAATTTATTAAATTACTTTTAGAAAATAGTATTTAATTGGGACCATTAATAAAAAGAAAATAAATTTATGTTACATAATTTTACAACTTTTTTTTCTATATTCTAATGCTAATGGATAAATTGATATATATTTATTTTGATATATTTTACAACATTGCTTTCATATTTAGTTTGTTCTATTTGTATTTATGAATAAATGTGTTTTTATGTTAGATATAAAAATTTATTGATAACATAAAATTATATATATATATATATGTTAGTCTTGAATTATAGACTTTAATAAGTTGAGAGAATATATATTGTATTAATATATATATTGTATTTTTAAATAATATTTATGAAAAATAAATAATATTAAATGAATAAACTCATTATTTTGTACTCCCTCGAGGAGGGCACATTTTGGGTATTTGATATCCGAATCGAACTAAACAAATATTCGAAACCGCAAACCGCATTCGAACCGAAATTTCGATTAACCGAAAATATTTTCAATATTTACAAATAAATCGAACTGAACCGAAATTAAAAAATAATTAAAATTCTAATTAAATCAAAATATTTGCAAATATTTCAAATATCCGAACCGAAACCGAACATAATTATTTATATAAATTTTAAAATATAATAATATAAATATACGAATATATTAACCGAATCGAAAAAAAATATAAAAAACCGAAATCGAACCGAATAAATATCAAATATACATTATTTGTATTCTAATCGAATTTGTTCAGTTAACCAAAAATTCGATTCGGTTCAGGTCTGTTCAGCAATTCGGCGGTTCGGTTCGATTTTTTTGCCCACCCCTGATGAACCACCGACGAACAAACTTATTGGCCAGCGAGCATCAAACTATATATAAATGTGTACCTAAGTTTATATCTGTTCTTTGGCAAGATAGATCATCACATTTGCAAGACAAGACAAGACAATTGGTGATCATGAAAGAAATACTGAAATAAAGTTTTAAGAGTATGGAGAAGCTGTTACTTTACAAAAGGATCTACCTTAATAACATTACAAGAGAGGACAAGAACAAGATTGAATAACTCTGAATCTGTTCCTCGACAAGGTTTTGCATCCTTGTCCAATTTCAACTGCAAAAATTTAAGGTAGTATGTAGAACAGGCATTGATTGCTATGTGATTTACTCCAATTTTCTACTTCTCTGGACATGCTTTGATTTCAATGCAATGATCAATCTCCCAAACTGTTTCGGCGCTTCACTTTTTCTCCTTAGCAGCCTTCACGGTAGATTTTTGTTTTGGTAACAGAAAGAAACGACGAAAAGGAAAGAAAAAACATATAAATGCGAAAAAAGAATAAATTCATAAGCTCTGAGCACAAACTAACTGAATTTCTTATGCTTGCAAAAAGGCAGAATGGGAAAGTATTTTACCTTTTTTAGTTTCTCCAGCACCGAATCTTCAAATGCCTGATATCCAGCACCAACCAGATTGTCCAATTTCGGATGATCGGCCTCCTTTCTCTCGGCGCCAAAAATAGCCGGCGATGAAGCTGTAGCTGGTTGGAGAGGCAAAACTAGAAGAGGATTTGAAAGATCGCCCAAGACATGCCCGGTAGTTGCACCCTGCAAAAATCACATTTTCCATGAGAACCGAAAAGGACAATAGTATAAAAACGAAACACAAGACTAAGTGAAAACCGACTAAACATACAGCTGCTTCTTTATTTGCCATTACTACAAGTGCTGATCCTTTCTTCTTGGTACTCTTGATGACTACATCCTCGACAGTACCAAATTTCTCAAATATTTCCCGAAGTTCCTGTGCAGTGTAATCCCCACCCGTCTTCTCCCACGAAACTTTAAGAATCTTTTGCTTATCCAATGCATTGCCTCCGCTATTCTTGTTATCTTTTTCCCTTTCTGGTCTCTCTTCCTTGGACTGTGCTGTAGCAGTTGGCATTTTCTTAGCATGCATTGCCCGGATTCTAGCTATCTCATCCTTGAGTTTTCGAGATATCCTCTCTTCCTCCTCTTTAGCTTTCAAGGTGGGATCGACTTGAGTGAAAGCAGATCGCTCCCTTTCTTCAAGATCTGACATCATTTTTCGGCGCTTTGAATCTTGTTGTCCTTGTCGAAGAAGCTTCTCCCTTTTCACTCTGAGTAGATCATCAAATAGCTTCCTAGCCTTTTCATCTTTGAGAACTTCATACGAAGTTTTAAGCTTTAGAAAATCAGCATGTGCATTGGGATCATCAGGCCTCTTGTCTGGATGCAGTTCCCTGGCCTTTGATCGATATGCTTTATTTATTTCTTGTTCTGAAAGCTTGGCACCTTCCTCACCAGATGGCAGCCCCAAAACATCATAATGGTCGCATTCAACCTCCATTCCTCAACTGGAAAAATAACAAAGGATATAATGAATCTTAAAAGGTACACAGAAATTAAACAAGGAATTGGTTTTGCAAGGCAGCAGATGCTGTGTATGAATAAAATGAGCATAACCTTCATGAATTTTGAAATCAAGAAAACCACAAAGATAAAAGAAACGAGAAGAAGTTAATCTTCTTCCCTGAAAACTAGTGGAATGGCACCATCCATTGCAATTGATATGGATTAAGCACCCAAATTCATAATGGACACACACGTACATAATTCAGAGTTAAACATGATACATACTACGAACATATAAAATGATGCTAACAAAGTGTAACGAAATTTGAAACAGAAATTGCCAATTTGGCCGAGTTATAGGATCACACAACAAAAGCATTCTCTCATATATAGCCATCGCATCATTTAGTTTTAAGGAGAATAGAGGCTTGGTATCTCTAGTCAAACAATGAAATCTAAAGTAACAAAACAAGCAAGATTCCAGTACATTCCAAGACAAACTGGCACCAAAGTACTAAACAGAATTAGAAGCAAGAAACAAAGAGAATATATAAACTGAAACCAAAAAGGGTTAAGGTAAACTATATGGAGCCCTAGGACCGTTAATATAATTCTAAAAACACCATTGTTGAACTCAGTAGAGAGATCAGGGAAGATATATAAATATATAGCATATATAAGTGAGACCTGGCGACTGCTGGGGTTTTGCAATTTGCAGGATGCACTAAGAACAAGAATATGAGATAGTTCTAACTAGTATCAGATTTACTAGTTAGTTTTTTAATGTGTTTGTTAAAAATGTTAGACCAATAGTCAGCAATTCGAAGCCTTAAACCAAAATTGAGATCTAGACTATGGCGGCAATTGAGTAATAGAAAAACAATGAATTGTATGCAATTGATATGATTTGAATACAAGAACTCAGAATCCCAGTCTACAGAATCAAAGTAATGCATCCTATATTACTGCAACACATATTGATCATCTCCTTCGATCCACATGCACAAATATTCGCTTTTCAATTAATGAAGCAACACAATAAAAATCTCTTTTCTTTCTTTTCAAACAAATATTCAGATCCATTTTGGGCGTGTCCGTGTCGGGTGATGAATTAACAGTTATCGAGAATGATGAAGAAATAAAAGTATGAACTACAATCTCTTCTCCAAACAACATGATGTTGATTCTTACAAAAACAAACCAAGTAATACCATAGAAGCATGTTTTCTCCAACAACTTCGTATTCCTCGCACATACAAAAAAAGAAAAAAACAAAGACAACTAGGAACATCGTCAAAACCTAAGTCCCAATCAGTTCAAAATCCATATCTACTGCGCCATAATCCTCCAACAATCCATAAAATCCAAAAGAGACAACTACAAATCATTGTCGTTACAAATTCTCGACAATCAAGTTTTCTCCAAGTAAAATGGAAAACCTTGCCCAATTATAAATAAGGGTTTACTTCGATCCAATTAACATTATTTTTACGACTTCCGTGGTGTTAATAAAACCCTCTACCTTTCATGGCATACAAACTTCGTTCCAGTCAAGTTAAATTTCAAATCTCTTTCAAATTGAGAACAATTTGATTATTAATTACCTTGGAGATGCTCTCGCCGAAGTGCAGTCGTTGGCGGAGGAACGCTTAGACCAACAGCTCACCGGAATCGCACCGACTTTGTGACGGAGTGGTACGGGCTATGGCCCGGAGGGAGTGTTGAGGGAAGAGGGAAGAGGAGTTGGGAAAGAAAAGAAGGAATTCGAGGGACAAACTAAGGAAAAAGGCAGGATTTCGACGGTTTAATTTAGGTATGTTTCTTGGTATAGGTTCGTCATTTGAATTGATATTAAAATAGTATATAATAAAATATTTTGTTAAAAAAAAAATATATATTTATTTTAAAAAAATAGCGGTCAAATAGTACTAATGTTACAAGTATCTTATTATATTATTTCTCTCTCTTTTATTATTTGTATTAATTTTACTGTGCCCATGAATTACACGGCGACGCGGCTAGTACTATAACTTTATTTGTTATATATTTATATACAAGTGGAGTGTGGTGACTTAAAATTATAAATTTTATTGAATTATTAAATTAATTATTATTATTAAATATATTATTTTTTAAGTATAAAAATTATTTAAATAAATCAAAATATTTTACATAATTAATTTTTAATATTCTAAATATTGAAATATAAAATTTAATAATAAAAAAATATTGATATATACAATAGCATTTCTACATATATAAAATTTTATTTTTAAATATATTTATAGATCTTAAATAGACAGGTATATTAAAAAATATATTAAAAAAAACAGGTATAGTAACCTATAAATTAATTAATATTAAAAATAATATTTAAAATTCAGATAAATAATTTATATATATATTATCCATTTGCAATTAAATTATAATAAAAATAAATAAATTATTTATATTTGTAATTCAATAGCATATAGTTATAATCTATCTCAATTTGACTGCATGTAAATTTTTATTTTTTTATGATTTATATTTACAATAAAAAAAATAATTTGATAATAATGTTTTTATTTTTATTTTTTTTTAAATCCTAATTAAATGACAGAAATAAATAACAAATTATCAAAATTATATTTGTTTATTTTATTTTTAACAATCTATTTTATTATTCATTAAGAATAACATATATCTTTCTTATTCGTTTGAAAACTAATAATTATATAATTATTCCAACATTCAAATAAATATCAAAATTCATTTACTAAGTGTAATAAGTCGTCTCTGGCTAAGAGAAAAATGTGCGCAAATGGACAAAGTCCCTGTATGGACTGAAACAGGTACATTTACAATGGCATTTAAGATTTGATAAATGATGTTATCAAATGGTTTTAAAATAAATGATTGTGACAAATGTGTCTATTTCAAATAAACACATTCTGCTTTTATCATATTTGTCCATATGTAAATGACTTACTGATCATAGCTAAGGATGTTAGCCTGATCAACGAGGTCAAATGCATGTCGGGTCGTAACTTCGACATGAAAAACTTGGGGTTAGCCGACGCCATCCTTTGAATGAAGATTCTAAGACAAGACGAAAGTATTGTTCTAACCCAATCCCACTATGTGGAAAAGATTTTGACAAATTTCAATGCCTAAAACAACACTCCAATGAAAACCCCAATAGACCTCAGTGTGCACTTGATCAAGAATAGGGTAGAGCCCGTAGCTCAAGAAAACTATGCCAAAATTATTGAAAGCCTAATGTACTTAACAAATTATATAAGACCTGACATGGCTTGCTCTATAAACAAACTGAGTCGATACACTAGCAACCTCAGTCATGAACACTTAAAAGCACTAGTAATAGTATTAAGTTTTCTTAAATTTACTTTGAATTTTGGTATACACTACGGAAGATATCCATCGGTACTCGAAGGGTAATGCGATGCCAATTGGAATTCTGATGCAAAAGATTCACTGTTTACAAGTGGATATATATTTACAATTGGAGGAGGAGATGTTTTGTGGAAATCCACAAAACAGATGTGCATTGCACGGTCCACAATAGAATCGGAGTTCATCGCCTTGGACAAAGCTGACGAGGAAGCCGAATGGCTGAGGAACTTTATGGATGATGTTCCATACTAGACAAAACAAGTACCCCTCGTGATGATTCATTGCGATAGAGAAGCTGCAATAGCAAGAGCTAAGAATGGAATCCACAACCATAAATCCCGACATATCCGATGTAGACATAAATTTGTAAGGTATATTATCACCAGTGGGGTTTTGAGTATTGAATGTGTAAAGTCAATAGAAAACCTAGCAGATCCGCTAACCAAAGGGTTGCAGAGAAATCAAATGTACAAACTGCTAAAGGGAATGAGTTTGAAATCCACAAGATAGAGACGATTAGAGGGGTAACCCAACAAAATCACTAGGAAATCTTAAGCTTTGGTTCAATGTGATAACTAAGTTGTAAGACTCCGATACGAATACTCAATTACAATTCCCTAAAAAGCAATGAGTGTTATAATGTGCAAAAGTGGTGAGGTTAAGTCAATGGCTCTTAATAATCCTAAATGTGTGAGTTAAATACCTTGAGATAAGATTACATATATAAGTGTGAAGTGTGAGCCGCTTCAAACGAAACGCTTATGAATCCAAAGACGAGATCCATGGCCGAAAAGGATCAAAACGTGAAAACAAAGTTGAGACTGAGATAGCGACACGTCAATATTATTGACCAAATGCACGCAGAGGTGGAACAGTTCAATGGATAACATCAACTGGACCACCAGTACACTCTGCAATGTTGATTATGGAAGGTTCAAAGACACAAGCTACATGTCCTGATGTGTCAATGTCTCACAGGGCCTGAGTTGGGCTTATGTCCTTTTATGGGCATTTCCACTCACATGGGAGATTGTTGGATAATCGGTTATTTATGCAACTGATTAATTGGTGAGTGAAAATGTGATGGGCCGATGTACTAAATTAATTAGATTAATTTAGAAAAAAAATAAATATTATTTATTTATTGTATATGGAGTTTGATTAATATTTTGGCTATTTTGCCTGTCTTGAAACAAACCAAATTGTGCAGCCTTAAGTTAAACCCGGATATATGGTCTAAGTCGCAGTATTATTTGGATAAAATATTATTCGTTGGATGAATTTATTATAATCTCAAATGAAATGTTTAAAATTACAATAAATTAAATTGTTTCAAACGGAAAGTTTGAAATTAGAATAAATTACGATCGTCACAAACAGAAAGTTTGCTATTAGAATCAATTACGACCACTTCAAATGGAATGTTTGAATTTAGAATAAATTACATCGGCAATTAAAGTCGTAATTATGATCGCGATTGATCCCCTGTCATTTTAGCCGAGTGGAGACACCTATATAGAAGGTCTCCCCCTTTCTTTCTAAACACACCAACAATATTCTCTCTTCCTTCTTTCATCTCTTATAGCTTTCCGACAACCTCCCCAGCTTACTTCCTCTCTCGCTCTGTTCGCCGGAGCTCCAACAATTTGAGGTGTCATTCTCATCGGAGACAGAATCCGTTTTATCTTTAAATTAGAACGCCAGCCACCAAAGGCACTATCAAGGTGGATCTAATTTTCGGAAAGATAATTCATCCTCGACTCGATTTCACGGTAGACTTTGTTCTCACAATTCTCATTTTGCTAAGAGTGGTCCAATCATCTTCTGCAATCCATTTTCTTTTCTTGTTGTTCAAAATAGTGTAAGTTTATCATATAAATTTCAAATAATTGTACATGTCCAATAAAAGCATAACCATTTGGCTATTTTTAATAAAATTTCAATTTTACTATATTAATATTAAAAAAACATTATACTATAAGAAGTACGTACGTAAGAATAGTATTTTATAGATTTAGACGATATAGTAACACTCTTAGTTCATATTAAAAAAATATGTAAAAACTAATGTTTTGCTTGCTTATAAAGAAACTAATAAGTAGCAGGTAGTAATAACAAAAAAAAATAAAATAAAATTGTTGATGTAATTTTTCAACAAAAATAAAGTAAAATTCAAAGATATTAAAAATATCCTTAAACTTGATTAATTAGTGCCTGAGATTAGGAATCTCTAAACACTGTAACGTACAGAAAATAAACTGGAAAATAAAAGACTGAAATTTAAAGTGGTGATCCCCAAATCTGACTTTGCTTTGTTGAAGTTGATTGAAGATGCCTTGCCAAATGATGATCCAAATCCTTAAATATTCTTTGAAGAAAACCTTCAGAACCGTCGCACTGTTTCACCAACCGTTCCCACCAGTTACAGAACTCAGAACTGCCTCTTTCATTGACACATGTCTTTAACCGCCTCGCCAACCGCATAACCCAACGACCGACCAACCGACCAATCTAGATACATAATTGGTCGCCAGATCAAAAAACTCACTGGTCGCCCCATCAAACGACCACTATTTGGTCTCTTCAATCGTCTGACCTATCAACAGACCTTTCTTCGCCCAACTTCCTTTTTCGACCGACCCCCATAGCAGCCAACCTTTGTATCAACCGACCCATTTATCTGACGGATAATCCGACCTGCTTGCCCGACCGCGGACTATCTGACTTGCTTATCTGATTGAGAACCAACCGACTGAGAACCCACCGACTGACTCTGGATACCTTATTATTATTATTATTATTATTATTATTATTATTATTATTATTATTATTTTTTGTGCTTAACAATAAGCCTCCTCCTCAAGACTCCTAAACATCACTTCCAGTGATGTTTTAGGAGTTTGCAGGCCGGCATCCGAGGCTACGTCAGCCTCAGATCCGACCTCCATCCTTCGAGGCTACGTTGGACCCGACCTCCATTTATCGCGGACTGGTGCTGGCCTGGACGTTGGTCGATCTTGCACTAACATTGCTTCAGCATCTCCCCCCTGACGGAAGTCATGATTAATTTCTGTAAAAAAGGATTCTAACCTTCTTGTCGTGGATGCTAAACTGGCCAGATCTTGAAAGTCGTGGGCTGTCAGGGCCTCGCGAAGTCTGGTATGCATGTTCCTGACCACCAAATTGGTCATTTCGCTTTCATTGATCATCGTAGGACATCGTCCCTTCATCAATCGCATCCTCTCTATGAATTGGTAGCCGGTCTCTTCCGGCATCTGCGTGATCTCCAGAAGGTCTATCAGTGAGACTGTCGGCAGAGGATTAAAGAACCTTCCATGAAAATCTGCCTCTAAATCTTCCCAAGTTTGCAACTGTCCAGGCGGCAGACTGACATACCAAGAAAAAGCTGTTCTTGTGAGCGACAACCCAAACAATTGTAACTTGTGAAACGGATTGTTGCCTACTTCTCCCAATTGAGCCGTGAAGCGACCCACATGCTCAATGGTAGAGGCTCCGTCTTCTCCCGAAAAAGAATAGAAGTCTGGTGGCCTATAATTTCTCGGGAGAGGATGATCGTTAATGATCCTTTCTGGAAATGGCCTCTGGTAAACCGGCCTGTTCACCGTTTGCGGATTCATTCCGAAATGCACCCGCAGAACTTGAGCAATATCCTCCGGATCTACTCTGGGTGGAATATGGTCGAACACTGGAATGTGATCGTGAGTCTGACCTCCCAATCTTTCTTCTCTGGAGAAGACTGGTTCGGCTGGGATGGGATTATGAGTCTGTCCCTCTAATCTCTCATTCGGCTGGGTATTATCAACCCTCGGTCCCAAAGGAACATTATCTGGGAAAGTTAGAGGAATCTTCCCCATATCTGTTCGGTTGAAAGTTGTAACGCTTGGAAACGTACTGTCAACGTATGATGGTTCTGCAAACGTTGATCCTGAGAAAGTCGCCTGAAAACGAGAAGGTGACACGGCTGGAAGCATGTTTGGATACAGGGTGAATCTGGAGAATGCCTGATCCAACATGTTTTGCATTAGATTTTGTTGTTCACGCAACATGCTCGTTTGTTGCTCACGCAACAAATTCTGCATAACCAAAGTATGCCGGTTGTTCATTTGTTGAACATAAGACCACCAATCAGTTGGTGGTTGTGGGATTTCCCCGGCATTTGGCATGACTGGTGGTGAAACATTCTCTCCCACCGGTGCTGATGATGATTGAGGTTGTGTGCCTGCCATATTGATTTTTCTGATGATTCGGCCAGACCTCAGTTGTATGACATTTTGTGTTGATGTAGGATCAGCAATCTTGCCTTTCTCCCACTGTGGTCGCCAATTTGTTGATGTAATTTTTCAACAAAAATAAAGTAAAATTCAAAGATATTAAAAATATCCTTAAACTTGATTAATTAGTGCCTGAGATTAGGAATCTCTAAACACTGTAACGTACAGAAAATAAACTGGAAAATAAAAGACTGAAATTTAAAGTGGTGATCCCCAAATCTGACTTTGCTTTGTTGAAGTTGATTGAAGATGCCTTGCCAAATGATGATCCAAATCCTTAAATATTCTTTGAAGAAAACGTTCAGAACCGTCGCACTGTTTCACCAACCGTTCCCACCAGTTACAGAACTCAGAACTGCCTCTTTCATTGACACATGTCTTTAACCGCCTCGCCAACCGCATAACCCAACGACCGACCAACCGACCAATCTAGATACATAATTGGTCGCCAGATCAAAAAACTCACTGGTCGCCCCATCAAACGACCACTATTTGGTCTCTTCAATCGTCTGACCTATCAACAGACCTTTCTTCGCCCAACTTCCTTTTTCGACCGACCCCCATAGCAGCCAACCTTTGTATCAACCGACCCATTTATCTGACGGATAATCCGACCTGCTTGCCCGACCGCGGACCATCTGACTTGCTTATCTGATTGAGAACCAACCGACTGAGAACCCACCGACTGACTCTGGATACCTTATTATTATTATTATTATTATTATTATTATTATTATTATTATTATTATTATTATTATTATTATTTTTTGTGCTTAACAAAAATAAAATAAAATATGCATCAATTGTTAAATGTGATTTAAGTGAATATCTATAATTGGACCATTTGATTAGGGACACTATATTTAAGGTACGAATATTAATTAGTTAATAAAAGTGAGTTATGATATTATTTTATTATTTTGTATGTAATAAATAATATTGATATTTTTTTAAAGTAAATTTAATAGATATGATTAAAAAAATTAAAATATATATTTAAATATTTTAAAAATTATGTAGGAATAAAAAAATATATGCAATATAAATACCATATTTTGTAGAAAATAAACTTTTCTATAATACAAGTAAATAAAAAGATACTTTTATTTATTATTTTTTAAGGAGAGATATAAATAAAAATTTTTTACATGAGTTTATATTTGATTTTGTAAATTTTACTCAAAATATAAATATATCAATTGTTATGAGACATATAAAAATAAAGATAATGTCAATTGTGGTGGACAAATAAAGTAATTTCTAATTAGAATCAATTAACTTTAAAAAAAATTTGGGTAAAAAAACCAGATATAAGAACGTAAAATAAACGACCCACGATTGCATAAAGCTGAATTAAAAAATCCAATACAAAAATCTTTGGCAACGGATAGAGAAGCGGGTAGTGTTCCCAGACCCGACCCGACCCGGGTACAAGTCTTGTTATGCAAGTCTGGGCAGGGAGGGCAGCCCACCATTTCACATATATTACCAGCGAAAGCTGATTTCATTGCCCAATCGAATACGACTGCCAGACGACGGAACGCCAAAATATCCCCCACCCCACCCTTTGTTCATCCTGTCCAAGCTTGTTTAGCCGATCAACTACCGAGGTAATCCAGCCAGAAGTTGAAGAAATTTATATACGTGCATACGAATTTTGGTGGTATTTGGATTCCAAGTATGAACTTTTCCAGGATCGGGACTTCGTTAACTCGATCGTCGCGTTCCAGAGTAAGCCTATTTTGTTTCCGTATTTGCGTCGCTTCTTTATGTGTATGTTTGGATTGGAGCAGGGGACGATAAATTTTGGTGAGAAATTTTGATTGCGGGGTGTGTGGTTCTTGTTTTATTTTGCAGAATGTGATTAATGGGGCGACTAATGGGAGGCTCGTGTTGTGGAGGAGTAAGGGGAATTTTGGGGCTTCTGATGTGAATGGTTTGAACTGTGTTGATAATTTGTTTGACGGGAAATTAGGGTTTCTGAGGGCTTATTTATCCGCTGTTCGAGCTAGTAAGGGATCAATTCCCAAGGTTAATTTATCGGAAATTAAATACTATGGGGTAAACTCCAGAATTGGTAGATTGTTCTCCACTGAGGCGCCGAAGAAGAAGAAGAGTAAGAGCTCCAGTTTTTTGGCGTATTTTGTTTTTAATGACAATCAAAGATATTGCTTGTTACTTACACTGTGTTTCTGTACCAATATTGGTAGATTATCAGAATTTTTATCCAAAAGAGAAGAAGGAAATTCCAAAGCAGAATGAGCAAAAATCGAAACCCAAAGGTTAGTGTGTTCTCGTCCTGTAATATTTGATTACTTGTTTGCTTTGATGATGACCTAGTCATTTCTATTGTGTTTGTTTGGGGGTTTGGATTTTGAAGGTCATCTCTATTGTGTTTGTTTGGGGGTTTGGATTTTGAGTTGGGATTTGAATAGTAAAAATTTTGAATTTGAATAGTTGTATGATGTGATATAAATAGGTGTTGATGTGATGTTTTGAATGTAAAATTGATTTTTAATATAATATAAAAAATGAAAAATAGGTGTATGATTTGATGTTTTTTGGGGAGAAAAGATGGGATGAATAGTAGATTTAAAATCCAATCCCCCAAACAAACACACCGGTGTGAAGAGCTCCAAGTTCAATAACTGTGATCGATATTTAGTTATATAAAGTTTTTATACTTAACTTGCACCAGAAAAAATCATTGTCTATGTGAGTGCTTCTTCTCTTTCTGGACATTATCTCAGTTTCTATGCCTTGAGGATTGTTGCTTTAACTTAGTAATAAATGGAATCTGATAAATTCTTTCGTGAGTTCGTTGCTTTTGTTCTGACCATCTACTGCTTTACAAAGAGGGAAACAATATCTTTGTGTGTTTTGGTGCTAACAAAATGGCTCCCAGTTGAATGCAAGAACCTTGTTTTTTACATGATGTGATTGTAAAGCAAGTGCTCTAGAGATTTAGAAAAAGTTTATCACTGCTGAGATATTATTGTTAGAATTATGGTGAATATCTCTCCCTTTAATTCTCATTTCTCTATCTCAGAGGAAGGAAACACAAACGATCCGATCTATTACAAAACTTCATTTGTATTAAATTGGCAAAATGTACTCACGCCAATACTGATGATTGGGTTGCTCCTTACAATGTCAACCAAGCCAAGTGAAGAGAAACAGGTATTGAATTACGGACTTGCAAATGCTAGATTTTGTGGATTTTCATCAAATCAATTCAAGTATGTCTCATTATTGTGTTATAAAATGTTTTCAGTGCTTACAAGTGAAGTTGAAATAGCGGTCTGTGATATAATTTTCATTATGTCAAGCACACCATGACTTCCTTAATTTATATTAAGCTTCAGTACAATGATTCTTCCAGTTCCAGCACATGGTCTTGTTTTCTTAGTACTTAACTCCTAGTTAAATTCGGTACTTATTATTAACAGCTGTATGTATTCCATTCCTGCTTTTGTTTTTCACTCATTTTCAGTTTTTAATTCAATTTAGGATCCTGAAAATTTTTAATAATATTAAGGTTCTCTGACAAGTTTCAAACTTTTCTTCTCATCTTGGTTATAGTGCTGCTGCTATTTAGTATTTTCTTTACTCTGTTTCTAGGTTGTTGAGTTATAATTAACTGGGTGATATGATTATGATGAGGATGCTTCATTGTAATTCTTTGTATATATCTTTATGTGTGCAAATTAAAACAGGAACTGTTGTCTTGTGGTAGTCACTGCATGGTATTTATTTTTTGAACCACTTTGGGAGATTAGAAAGGCCTATAATGGTTTTCAGGATTTGGCTTTGGGTTAATTACTTTTTGCCTGGTTGGAATATCTCTGGGATTGTTACAAACTGCGATTAAATGAGAATCTGAGATAACCAGATAGCATTGTTTCCAGGTAGCCCAGTAAAATAATCTACTTTCTAAAACTTATTATTGCTTGATTTCTCATTGGTTGGTCCTGAATCAATCAACTTTGTTTATGCTTTGGGCCTTTAATATCTAACATTATTGGCAGTGGTAGCTAAAAGAGATGAGAATACCATTGTTCACGATGTTATTGTTTGCAGTGCACTATATGTATAGAAATAGCTCTGGTAGGAAAAATGCCTGAAACAAGTTCTGCATACTTTAGCATATTTTGGTTGGATCTTTCTATATCAGCTATTGATTTAAGCATATTTTGCTTTTGAATCGTTTGCAATTGGATACTTTTCGGTTTACTTATGAATTTTCTCTTAATGCTTGTACCATATTTTTGTCAGGCTACTGTTAAGAACTTAACATCTATATAATAGTATGAAACTAGTTTGATTATGTTTTAATCTGTGACTGTATTTCATGTACTATTCTGCTATGTTTCTTTGTTGGGATGGGATTTGCTCTTGTTTTCACTCCATTGATTTGCCATTCATTGGACTGCAGATTAGTTTTCAAGAATTCAGAAACAAGCTTCTCGAACCAGGTCTAGTGGATCACATTGTTATCTCTAATAAATCTGTTGCTAAAGTATATGTAAGAAGCACTCCACAGACTCACAGTGATCATAGTCCGGCTGAAGGAGGATCTGAATTTGTACCACCAGTGGGCAGCACAGATGCAAAAGTAAAAAATAGCCAATATAAATATTATTTCAATATTGGAAGTATTGAATCGTTTGAAGAGAAGTTGGAAGAAGCCCAGGAAGCATTGGGGATAGATCCGCATGATTTTGTGCCTGTTACTTATGTTTCAGAAATGGCATGGTTCCAAGAGTTGATCAGATTTGCTCCCACTCTTTTGCTATTGGGATCCCTTTTCTACATGGGACGTAAAATGCAAGGTGGACTTGGTGTTGGAGGAACTGGTGGGAAAGGTGCCCGAGGCATATTCAATATTGGAAAAGCTCACATTACGAAGTTGGACAAAAATGCTAAAGATAAGGTTTGTTGATAATTGTTTTATGAATAGCACCGATGCCTGCGCATTGTAGTAATCCACAGCACTGTCTCTGGTGCTGAGCTTCTTTCTTTCTTGTATTTGTTTCCATTTCCAGGTTTTCTTCAAGGATGTTGCGGGTTGTGATGAAGCAAAGCAGGAGATTATGGAGTTTGTTCATTTCCTAAAGAATCCTAAGAAATATGAGGAACTAGGAGCCAAAATCCCTAAGGGAGCTCTGTTGGTTGGGCCTCCTGGAACTGGAAAAACACTACTGGCCAAAGCAACTGCTGGAGAATCTGGTGTACCCTTTTTATCCATATCTGGTTCTGACTTCATGGAAATGTTTGTCGGAGTAGGGCCTTCTCGAGTTCGAAACTTATTTCAAGAGGCTAGGCAATGTGCCCCTAGCATCATATTTATTGATGAGATTGATGCGATTGGTCGAGCAAGAGGTCGTGGTGGGTTTTCCGGTTCCAATGATGAGCGTGAAAGCACTCTGAATCAGTTACTTGTAGAAATGGATGGATTTGGCACTACTTCTGGTGTGGTTGTTCTTGCTGGTACAAATAGACCTGATATTTTAGACAAAGCATTGTTGAGGCCAGGACGATTTGACCGCCAAATTAGCATAGACAAGCCGGATATCAAAGGCCGTGACCAGATATTTCAGATTTATTTGAAGAAGATTAAACTTGATCATGAGCCATCATACTATTCTCAGAGACTAGCAGCCCTAACTCCTGGATTTGCTGGTGCGGATATTGCAAATGTTTGCAATGAAGCTGCTCTAATTGCCGCTAGGGGTGAGGATTCACAAGTTAAGATGGAACATTTTGATGCTGCTATAGACAGGATAATCGGTGGCCTTGAGAAGAAAAATAAGGTAAGCTTCTTTTTCCCCAACTGGATGTGGTTAATTTGATCAGGACTTCTGCCTTCCCTTGTTGCTATATATGTTTTCTGCCAGTGCATGAATATAATCTAATTAATGAAGTTGAGCTATAGACATAACAAAATAGTATCTCTAGTATGGAACAACATCAATCGATAATTTTGTAGGGTCCATTTATTGAAAATGGATTTTAATTCCTTCGTTCTTTTTACTTGTATCTTTGTCTTTTGAAGATTTTGAAATTTGTTGACTTTAGAATTGATGTAAAATTTAATTTTTTAGTATTTGAAATCCACATTCTTATTTCTAGTTTTTTTAAAATCAATTTTGTTATCCTATTTATTTTCGTATTAATCTGTATTTAATATCGGCTTTAATGAAACCCATTTTGGTACTATTTAAAATGTGTTTTATCTATGACCTTTTGACATTTAGGGTGTGTTTGTTTGGGGATTGGATTTTAAATACACTGTTCATCTCATTTTTCCCCCAAAAAACATCAAATCAAACACTTATTTTTTATTTTTTATATTATACTAAAAATTAATTTTACATTCAAAACATCGTATCAACACCTATTTATATCACATCATATAATTATTTCAATTCAAAATTTTTACTATTCAAATTCCAACTCAAAATCCAAACCCCCAAACAAACACAGCCTTAATACTTTTAGTTATTTGCTATATGTGATGTGCTTGAATGTCTTGCCTATAAATGTGTAATTTGTAAACAATTTGTTTTATTCCAAAACCTTTGAAATGCTTTTTCGAAATCTTATAATACTTAAACAATAGGTTTGATTTTCGATGTATTTCCAATATTATATGATTCAATTCTATTCATTTTAAACTCACTCTCAAACTCAAACAATTCAACTGAGCGTACCCATATTGTGTATCTTTAGAAAAAGCTACTTCTACAATCATACCTTTTGACAGTGTTTAGCTTTTTGAAGCATCATGTTATATTCTCAAATGTTTTTACAGTCTCTTTTTGAGTATTTTGCTCTCAACAGTCTAGCTTCAAATTAGGAAAGATGGATTCTGCAAACAATGAAAGAAAAATAGAACTCTTTTAGCCATTTGTGTCGCAGTAGAGGCTATTAAACTCAATCAAGATTAAATGATATGTTACTGAATGTTGAAATTGATGAAAATATTTTCTCATACTTAAAAATCAAGATTCCAATGACTATTTATGAAGTAATAGCCAGTCTTATAACTAATCGAACAGTAGCTTTCTAATCTAGGATAGAAGCACTCTGTTTTTGTTGTATCATAATACATGAGCTGATTCTTTCAACATTATATATTCATACTGTTTTCTAAAAACCACATCAATTCAATCCCACACTCAATTTCATAGGCAAATGATAACATCTTTTCTTCCCTTCCCAATAAATAATTTTATAACCATTATCTGAGCTGGGGGGGACACATTTTAATGCAATAAATCTGGTATCGACTGTAACACTGTGGATTACACTCACCTTAGTATATTAGCTATAATCTATTACGAAGTTTTTTCTTGGTGAGACTTGAATACAAACATTGTGGTCTGTGACTAGAAGTACCCGACACACGTCACCATCTGTAATCTGCTTTTAGAAGTTTCCATCACTGATATTTTTGTATTGTTTTAGTTCACTAGTCTTTAGTAGCATCATAATGTGTATGCATTTGCTCATGAGTACCCTTATGGATATCATCGAAAGTGTTGCAACTTTTAAATACACTCGTACAAATGCTGGTGTTTAAGATTTCAGCAAAATAGATGTTCCTCTCTGTACCTGTCAATGACTGCGAATACATCTCATTGTGTCTACTTTTATTTTTGAGATCAGTTTGGTGATACTTCTTTTGCATGTAAAACATCCCTGATGATTTTTCGGTGTGGTTTCTTGCTTTTTTGTTTCCTGAACAGGTTATAAGTAAGCTTGAACGCCGGACTGTAGCTTTTCATGAATCAGGCCATGCTGTGGTCGGGTGGTTTCTAGAACATGCAGAACCCTTGCTGAAAGTCACTATCGTTCCCCGTGGAACTGCAGCGCTAGGATTTGCGCAGTATGTTCCAAACGAAAACCTACTCATGACAAAGGAGCAGCTTTTCGATATGACTTGCATGACTCTAGGTGGCCGCGCTGCTGAACAGGTAGACCCCCGTGTGTTTATATGATAATTAATATCCTTCAGTAGATATTGAATTGATTTTTTCTTTTTTTTTTTTACTTATTTCACTACATATTCGAATTTATTCGTACATAAGAAAATCTGACTTGTAGTTGTGCTATGACTGTTCTGCGTATACTTAGCTGTTGTTGTAGTCATTCAAATGAGTTATCTTTTCTACCCTGCTTTAGGTATTGCTGGGAAAAATATCGACCGGAGCTCAGAACGATCTAGAAAAAGTGACGAGAATGACATACGCCCAAGTGGCTGTTTACGGGTTCAGTGACAAAGTGGGTCTTCTCTCGTTCCCTCCCAGAGACGACGGATTCGAGATGAGCAAGCCCTACAGCAACAAGACAGCAGCCATCATCGATGGCGAAGTCCGGGAATGGGTGAATAAGGCGTACACTCGCACACTGGAATTAATCGAGGAGCGCAAAGAGCAAGTGGCTGAGATCGCTAAGCTGTTGCTGGAAAAGGAAACTATTCACCAAGATGACATGATCCGGGTGCTGGGAGAGCGTCCATTCAAATCGGGCGAAACGACGCATTATGATATATTCAAGAAAGGATTCCAGGAAGACGATATAAAGAGCGCGTCGCAGGAGGATGACCGGCCCTCGACGCCTCTGGAGCCTCAGGTAGTTCCCACATGATACTAATACTAATGATAATAGTAATTGTTAGTATTATCTATAATAAGATTTGTTTTTTTATTTTTTCGAATGGAATGTAAGATGATAATTATTATCTATGGAAAGTATGGTTCCTGAATATTCAAGCTGTAATGATTTGATTTGATTCCCAGTAAATTTCCATATGAAGGATGAAATTGTTTTGTTATGGTTTGGTTTGAATATTATAGTTGGAACCATTGTTATTGTGGGTGCTTAGATAGAGTAAATACATGGGAGCTATAATTTAAATAAATCATTTATTTAATATATTCAACAAAATAAATAATTCAAATTTTAACAAATTCAAGTAACAAGAAAATAACTTATTCTCTAAACTCTACAACTTATTGAACAAGAAAATAATTCAAATTTTAACAAATTCAATTTAGATATTATATTACATGTGATATACTCAAAAATTATTATAAAATTATTTCATATTAATCATATGTAAAAATTTATATTTATTTATTTATATTATATAAAAGTTTATACTTATAAGATGATATTCATATTTATATATTTTTATTGAAATACAGTATTTAAAATATTTAAATACATATTCTAATTTTTTAACGTTATATTATATATAATGCATTATGAATAAATTATTTTCAACCCAACTTTCAACTTAAAATTTAATCTGTAACCAAACTCATTATTGATTCCCCACGTACTCCTTCTGAATCAAGTGCTGTAAATTCCAAGGATATTCCTTAATGCTTCAAACCATCCAACACTGAAGGACTTTGTAAATATGTATTAGTTTCACATTTCTTCTTTTTAACTACCTTTCTCAATGTACAACGCTTTACCTTAAATGTTTGTTTTTTTAAGGAATAAGTAAAGTAGCAATAGGAGCTTAGTTATCATTACTTTAATGCTTCCTTCTTTTTTATGTTGCAAATTATCCAACCACCATGAAGTTAGATTCACTACAACAATTGCTCCTATAAACTCAGTTTCTGCCGTTGATTGAGTTACAAACTTTTTTTTTCTATAACACCAAGAGAAACACTCTGAGCCAAAGGTAATTCAATAACCAGAAGTGCTCTTCGTATTATCCACTGAACTAGTCCAATAATTGTCTAAATATCCTTATAATTTGAAATTTTCAACTTCGTTGAATTTTATTCTATAGCTTACTGTGCCTTTCATGTATCTCAATATCCTTTTTGCAGCTGCCGTATGAGCTTCACTTGTGCAATTTAAATATCTAGATAGAACATTTATAATGTACATGATTTCCGGTCTTATGGATGTAAGATATAAGACAACCTAAAAATATACTATACACTTTCCCATTTACTTGGTTTTTCCCAACATCTTTCTGCAATTTTTTTTAGGGTTTATTGGAGTGCTTATTGTCCGCACTCCTTCATCTTTAATTTTTTTACAACTTTCTTCATACTTCTTTTGGCAAATGAATACTCTGTTCTCTTTTTTTGTTAACCTTTATGCCTAGAATATAATGATATTTTCTAAATCTGTCATTTCAAATGTACTTTACATGTCTTTCTTAAATTTTGAAATTTTCATTTCATCAGTTCCTATAACCAAGAAGTCATCAACATAAAGTGAAATTATAACCATTTCACCTATTGATCTTCACATACATAGTAGACTCATTTAAACTATTTTCAAAGCTCAATCTCAACAAATAATTATTTATTTTGTTGTACAATGTTCTATAAGTCTGCTTAAGACCATAAGGTGTCTTCTCTGTAGATTTTCTCCCATTGATAGTAAGTGTGAAGTATTTGAATGCTCTACATAAATCTCATCTTGTAACATTCTATTTTAAAAACTAACTCAAAAAATTTAACAAGTATACTTTTAATCCTTTTTGAGTTGATATTGCAAGCAACATTTTAATTGTATCCATTCTAGTTACCGGTGCAAAAACTCCAGAGAAATCAACTCCCCAAACTTGCGAATAATCTTTCACAACCAGCCTTGCTTTGACAAATCCATTAGGCTTTAGTTTGATTCTAAAAATCCATGTTACTCCAATGACTTTTCTATATGTTGATTTTTTTGTTAACTCTATATTTTATTTCTCTCTATCATATACAAACCAAACTTCATAGGGATTTTTGGCTACTTCTATCCAAAATTATTTTTTCTTTACTTATTTCTATTATGGACACAAATTATATGTTGAGTCTTTAATTTCAACATTTGTGCCGATTAGATTAATATTAATTATCTTAATTATATTTTAAAGATAATTAAATAATATAAGTTGATATTATTATTTTTAATAGTGTTCATGATAGATGGACCCCTATGATTGTGTTTAGTAGATTAAAAGATGGGTTTTTTTTTTTTTTTTGAGATCATATATTAAGACAAGTTTTTCAACAGTTAAATTATTTTTGCATTCGTTTTCTTCTCCTTGATAGTAACAATATGAATTAATCGGATGCTTATATTTCAATCCAAATGCAGTGACAATCTTCTTACGAAGAATCGCTTTCGCTAGACTCTTTGTTGAAACACTAGAAAAAAACATCCAAATTTCATCCAAGGAAAATGAATAGGTATAAACGTGTTAGTGTTTTTAGGCTCTACATGCTTGAAAACCTTGCTATGGTAATACAGTGGCTGGTCTGAATCCTTCGGCAGTACAACTGCATAAGCTCAGGGTGTTAATTAGGCCATCGAGTTAATGAGTTTGTTAAGGGCTTAAGTTCGACTTGTATTAATTTGTTGAATATTACGCACAAATAATAATAATAATAATAATAATAGCAGGATCTTAAAGGAAGTTAGGACACGAAGTCCGGCGGAAAAGGAGAAAATATGCATTCAGGTCGGTTGGTCCACAGTCGGGTGGTCCGCAGTCGGATAAGCAGGTCGGTTGGTCCTCGGTCGGATAGGTAGGTCGGAAGGTCCGCGGTCGGATAAGCTGGTCGGAAGGTCTGCAGTCGGATGGGATGGTTTGTAGTCGGTTGGTTTGCAGTCGGTTGGTCCGCCATCGGTTGAGTCGGCCAATACGGAGTTTGGACCAAACGAAAGTCTGTTAATTAGTCGCCTAATTAAGTGAACAGTAGTTCAGTCGCTTGGATGGGGCGACCATTGAATCGTCTGGAGAGATCAGATGTTGGTCGCTTGATGTGGCGACCAATAAATCGTTTGGTCTAGCGACCAGTTAGTCTCTGAAATGGTCGGTGGGGCCAGTTGAGTTCTGGAATTGGTAAAAGCGTTTGGCGAGACAGTGTAAGACACGTGTCGACAGAGAAGGACCTTGTGGACGGTTGCCGTAACCGCCCAGACGACGTTTCAAAACGTTTCGTTGTGGACGGTTGCTGTCGACGGTTCTGAAATGTTTTCTTGAAGGAATATTTAAGGATTTGGATTTATTTTGGAAAGACATCTTCAATCATCTTTAAACGACAAGCAAAGTCATGATTCGGGGATCATCATTTAAAATTTTCAGTCTTTTATTTTCTAGTTTATTTTCTAGTTTATTTTCTGTACCGTACATTGTTTAGAGATTCCTAATCTCACGCACTAATTATATCAAATTCGAAGATAATTTCTTATTTTCGGATATTACTTTTTATTGTTAAAAAAATACATCAATAATAATAATAATAATAATAATAAGAACATTGTGTTAACAAGTTTTCGATTTGAGCTCGCTTATGTTCATTAAAAGCACAAATTGCAAATATTATAATTTTAGCTTGATTCACTCGTTTTCTTTTTTGACAAAAATAATAAGACTATTATAATAACGAATTTGATAATAACTCCGACTCTGACTTATATTTGTTAGAAGGCACAAATTGAAATATTGTTTTGCTTTGATTATTTAAAAACTTTTAGTTTAAACTAAAATTCAAACTTTATTCAATTAATTGATTATTAATAAAAATGTTATCATTAGTTTTAATCAATAAATTTGTCTAAATTTTTTAACTAAGTATAGTATTGTAAAAATGCTTTTAGATTTACTATGCTGAACCCATATTTTAAATTTGATTATTGAAATGGTATAGAAATAATAAATGGTGACGTAGAAAAAATTTAATACAATGTTATTTTCAAAAAAAATGTTATCTAATTGCATATCAATTGTAGTAAAATTAGTTTTCAATAGTAAAATTCCGTCAGAAATTGATTTGTTCAATTTGAGGAGCAATCATTTATATAAGAAAACAAAATCTGCTCATAATTCTTATTTGGTTTCAAAATTTAGTGTAAATCGTCTATGTTATTTGAAAATTGCATAGCTTTTGTATTTTCAATTTTGCAATTTAGTGTAAATCTTCCATATTCTTTAAAAATTACAAAAAATATAAAAAGAGATTTTTTAAAGTATAAGTGTAATTTTTAAAGTACATGGGAGATTTAAGGTGAGTTTCGAAATTATATAAGAGTTATGGACAATTTTGTCATATAAAAATAAGGTTCAAAAGATTTGTCGTATTCAAAATAGTCATTTTTTTAATGTATAATTTTTCATTGGCATGGATCATTTGCATGAAATTAATTTCCTGCTAAATGCCTTGAAATATAATTATCTATGATTATATTAATTAAACGATTTAATTGTGAAAATTAAGATAATTAAAAGTCAAAGTATTTGGCACATATGCTGAAAATTTATTTAAGCACATGATCCACCATCTTTTATATTCTTTGTTTAACATCTAACTTTTTTCGTTTAAATATATGTGATATCTGGATTTGTTCCTTTAATATTTTTAGATGAAATAATTCTTTATAAATATTATTAAAAATACAATATACACATATTAACACCGTATATATAATACATATACTTTATTCACTTACAATTTTTTTTATTAATTCAATACAAATATTTTTCTATGTTACTAGTAGAAAACATATATATATATATTAGTAAAACAATTCATCTTACTTAACATAAAAAAAAATAAATATATATATATATCCTTCCAAAAACACAAAGTGAACAAAAATTAAATTAATAGTTGAAGAGTTCAAAATTATGGATGTGGACATATTAGTGAAATTAATGGGTAATGCCATTGTATTGGATCAATAATACAAAATTAATTTGATTGAAATTTATTTTTTTCTTGATATATATGGTGACAATCAATAGGTAAAGATTGAAGAAATTTGACAACATTACGACAATTTCTTCCATAGCTAACAATTTATAGATAAAAGTTCACAAGTATCAATAATTTTGAAGATCTTTTAACAAAAAAAGTTAACACATTTTTTCAAAAAAAAAAAATATATATTACACACGTTATTTTTTTATATTACCTACACAATTCCTCGCACCTCACGTAAAAATTATCAAAACACAAAACAAACACACTCTAGATTTGGTTGAAACAACATTTTCCAGTTCTAACTATGACAATTTGCGAGTAATTCGTTAACACTTTATGATGAATATATTGTTCAAGTACAAATTCACAATATTTGAATTGAATTTATATTTAAAGATGAACGAAGAATTTAAAGTGTAGAATATATATTCGGTGGCCGTAACTAATGTAAGCTCTTCTTACATGCATTCAAAAGTTATTTTGACATTATTCATTTACAATATGTTCTTCAAAATAATATTATATCAAATATCTATTAATTATTTAAAAATATTACATTAAATGTTTGATTTTCTATTATTTAAAAAAAATAAAAAATTCAAAAAAAAATTAAAATAGTATCTAAACTGAGCCAAATTATTTGATATTTTGGAATCTATAGGTATTTGTTGTATTGTAGCATTTAGCTTTTTCTCTCCCTTTTTTTTTTAAAGAAAAATAAAAATTAATGCTTGATTAGTTTATAAGTGCTTCGAAAGAATTCCAACTTATGATTTGGTCTGGATTCTTACAAACAAGGGCCAGGTGAATAATTGCTTAGAGCAAATACAATGGTATGAGATATAAATAGCTTCATATTTTTAAATTTTAGTCTATAGTAATTATTAGATACTATATTAAACTTTAAAATTGTATTTTAAATTTTAGTCTATATTTTTTTTTTCTTCATAATTATCCAATTCAATTCTAATTTTAAAATTTAAATTCAAAACCTACCCGAACATTTTTTTTCTCCCCTCATCTCTTTTTCATAACCCACCGCACTCTTTATTAAATATATAATTAAAATAAAAAATGGTCTGGTGGTAGCGTAGGAGTTGGGACTTGTGACCGTGAAGTCAAGAGTTACCTCAGGTTACCTGCCACACATAGTTGACCTAGTGTGACTTCCCGGGCCTAAGGCCTAGGGCCTAGTTATTCAATATAACTAAGAGGCAATAGTCCAAGTACCACAAACATACTACTACAATAGTCCATGAATAAATTCAATTTCACCTAAACTTGCGAATTCTCCACTTAAACACCACATCCACAAAAGGCAAAAGACAAGACACAAAAATATTCACTGTAAGAGCAACAATTGGACATTAAAAGTCAGTAAATCAAGAAGATAGATGCACAGAGATTATTAGAGAAAGTTGAGATGACACCTCCAACTTTTGTCGTCATGCGGTGTAATTGATTCATGTCCTCCCATCACTGCTGCTTCACATTTCCTTCCTTCTCGTTCTCCCCGTCCTCATGCTGCAGGGCCTTCAGTTTTCTGTAACCCTTGTCCGTCCCGAATATCCTGACAAAATACAATCAATATAATATAATCTTGCAGTAGCTTCAAAACTAAATTCTTTTCAATATAATATAATATAATCATGAATAAGGTTTCAATGAATTTTCAACGTGCAGAGACAAGTTATAACAAAACAACCCTCTTTAAATCAATGCGAAGTTTGTCAATATTTTAGGACAACACATTAGCGGTCAAGGAAGACCAACAGGACTGAGATGCCTGTTATGGCATGGCAGTCAAACAGGAGGAAGATTGAATGGATGAGATAAAAATGGTAACTTTCCAACTTCATGGTGACCAATATTTTCAACATTATATTTATTCGACTTCTTAACTTGCATTAAGAAAAGGTTGAAGTGGCCTATAAAAGAGGTTTTGAATGAAATCCTACTTAATTCGCTTGAAAATTAAGCAAATTTGATTGATGCAAAGCAGAAAGGAGAACGGTGAAAATCTTACCAATCCATGTACACAAAGGTCGATGAGTAGTTGCCGCTTTTTGTGTAAAGCAAGCGATGATGATAGTCATGGAAATCAGCACTGTTTAAAAAAACAAAGCCAGTGCAGAGAGAAGTATTTAGTCACAGAAATAATAAATTAATATTAATAATAATTTTTAAGAGTAAAGATATAAGGATTACAGACCCCCCATATAAAGGCAAGTAGTTAGAGAGGCTCCAAGGAAAATGGTATCCACAATGTGCCTCAACTGTCTCGAGGACTCTAAGAACCATCCATAACCACAGGGTTATCAGATGGGGCCCGGTAATGGCAGGGCCAATTATTGTAGCAAATCCAAGAAACAAAATCTCCGCAGGGTGAGCATATTCAGAGGTCAGTCCAAATGGTGTGGCGTACCTGCACAGGCATCAAGAATATTGATGAAAACGGTAATTTTAAAGTAAGTGTGATATTGCTTACAGTGAATGAATGGAAAGTATTTGTTTGGATGGCACTCACTCATGATGGACACTATGGACATGCTTGTAAAGCCACTTTGTGTGCAAAATCCTGTGACCCCAGTAGAATACGAAATCCTCAAGGATGAAGTAAAATAATATCTGAGTGGACATTACTTTCCTGCAGAACAAATTTCCATAATGTAAATTGTAACCCCAATAAACACTGGGAAATTGCAACAAGAGGGGGTTTATAAAACAATAAGGAGATTACATGCAGATTATTCTGTAGCTTTGATATTATCGACTCCTTAGAAGAATCTTTGCTTTTATAAGTGCACAAGGAGAGAATAATGACACAAAGAGGATTAGTTTGTGAGACTTGTGCTCAATGGGATTGCATGATGAACCCAGTCTCAGTTTTTGTTGTGTATTGGATGATAAACCAACCTCAACACAATTAGACAGACCATTTCTGAATTTACTCGTGAAACAAAGTCTAAGAGTACTATAGAACTCTTTTCTTTTTCTTTTTTTTTTCAGAAAATTATAATATAAGGTACATGTAAGCTGTCTCTGGTAAATAACATACTGGAAGAGAACAAGCTGGTCTACCTGGGATCAGCTAATCAAGATTTAAAGCAATTTGGTGGGAGCAGGTTATCACATTGTGAAGAAAATTAAATTGGTAGAATGATTAAGTCAAAAGCAAGTCTATATAGAATCAGAGTGTACCAGGATGGCAATGGGAGAGTACTTCGCATGCCCATGGATCTGAAGACAGGATATGACAGCATCATAACAGGTAGATTAACACAAAAATGATACAGCAATAGCCGGGTGATACATTTCTCTTGAGCATCGGGTGTGTTGTTCTTAGACTGCACCAAGAGATAAATATGCAATGTGTATGTATTGCCCCCATGTAAGAAGAGAAAAATAAAATTAAAGGCATTGAGGGGGAAAAAAGAAGATTTTTCAGCTAAGAGCAAGTCTACTAGAGAACACAGAATATTGGGAAGTGTTTCAACGTTCACTTGTAACTATTCTTTTCACTCAAAATGTGGTTTATATTCTAGTACAGTTCATCTTTAAACATAGTCTATCCATCCCTACAAACATTATATCTTTATGCTAAAGAGCTTTTTCCTAGCATTGCAATTCCTCTTCTGCCATCTTATCACCCTTCATATCTTTACAATTACCTATTCCAAACCATTGCAACATTTGTGATCTTTTTATTCTGTCATACCATGCAACCATTAGTAAACCTTTTTATGATGTAAATGACAATAAGAAAAAAACTTTGAGCATATACTCTTTAAAAGATGACCACCTATACCAATAATAAATATAAATTTTTGCATATAAATCTGGTCATTCTACACAAAAACACAAAACACAACTGACCAAAGTTCAGAAAATATTTACATTAGAAATTTTTTTTGCATATTAGTGTTGCCCCAAGAAGTCACAAAGTAACCATTCACCAAAATACTTTATATTATAATATGGGCTTCAGTACCTGAATACAGCCCAGAATTTCTAATTATATAGTAGACAGCATCAATTTTTTCAAAAGGGAACTTTCTGAATGAAATCAAAATTATAATGCATGGTGCAGCATGGCGAGCGCCGAGCAGTGCAAGCCAGAAGCATTGATAAGTAATTAATGTACAAATATATGTGCAATTAATATAACCATGTATTGCCATATCCTCCAACAAGATGTTTGAATCTTGTGTCTCTTTTAAAAGTCTTATTAAAATTATATTTCTATTATTAGAATTTGGCAGCATACTCAAGGTCCACCATGAATCCTTTCCAATTTGAGGGCATACTTATTCGAATGATAAAAAGATATATATATACACACACACACACACACACACAATCTTACAAATAATATTTCAAAATATAATGAAACAAATGGAATACATTAAAAAAAAAAATCATAATTTTCATTTACTAAAACCAATATATTAATAGGGCAAGTAGAAGAAAATCTAACAGTATGTGTGAGAGAGTAAGTAGGAGAGAAGCTAGGGGAAGCAGGAAGCCAGGGTTAAGGCTAAAACTCCTAAAATGTTGGAACTTAAAAAAATAGAAGAAAAAAACACTTCAGCTGTGGCACGCACCTTTTATAACTGTGATTGAAATTGAAGGTCAAAGCATATTTGAAATGAACTAGCATACATTTGACTGAAATAAAATCACTGAATAAACCAACAGACATAAGACAATTAAGGCAAAGCAGCAAAACTCTCATGAAAACAACACACGTGCTTAGAATATTCCTCAGCACATTTCTGTAGGGCATTTTGCAAGGATATAAAAGAAGAGGTAGTGAAACAAAGACATGCAGATCATTAATAACAACTACCACCAATGGATGCAGCCAAGATGCAAAACCTTCGGAAAACAAGATGAACAAAAAGCTGGCTTGAGTTAAACCTGGATTTTGTACTTGCTCAACCATCCTCCCCTTTCCAAAAATATGAATGGAAGTCCAGACAGAAAGAAGACACTCTCGTGAATCAAGAAACTTCCAATACAAGCCAGTTGAAAGTCATTAAAATGGGTTATGAGATACTGCAACGAAGATATTATACATGTTAATTCAATACAACACCAATAAAAAAATGCATGGAGAAACTCTAAAAATCAAATTCTTAAAAGGAATGTAGAGTCGGAAGTTTATTTAATACTTCAAATATACTTTAAATAAACGTATTGAGTGATGTGAATATAGTTGATAAAATTTCCCACCCCACGTCTTCCACAAAACAATAGCATGGATAAGCTTAACATGCAAATCTTAAATTAAACAGGAACAGAACATATAGCATTCCACATCTAACAAACACATTCTTTCTTCAAGATAAGTACACAAATACACAATGCAGTCTGAATTGATTTATTACTGGAAGTAAGGCTTGATAAAGAATTCCCCTTGAAATCTAATCATTTTCCTATATATGGTATCTTGAATAAACTCTACCTAATCCCAAAAGCCCTACAAAATATGATTCAGTCAAGGTATGAAGAAAGGAAACTTAAAAGAAACGAACATTAAGTTATGTTACAATACTTAACTTGTCAAGCTAACAATAGGTACCAATGGAGTTATTTAAGAGATTTCAATCTTGAAATTTAGGAAGGATGCATCAGAAATCACTTAGAACAACCTCCTAATATAGAAAAGATTGTCTTCAAATGACACAGCACTGAGTGCATTAAATCTACATTTTATAGAAGTTAGAGGAGTGACATATGACTTTAACAAAGGTGCCAACTGCGACAATCAGTGAGGCTCATCCCAGAAGTACAGTTACAAGGAACTCGGTTAGTACAGGAAACTGGATGTCAATTAGGATTTATCCCAGAGGCCAGTAATTGTTGTACACTTCTCTTTTTTTTTTTTTTTTTTTCTCTCTCTGGATGTGGTGAAATATTCGCGACAGCCCTAGCTACTTATGCCAAGCAATACAAGTTAGTTATATGTATGTTAGCTGCTGCTAAAGCAACCACTGGCCAAACAGAGCAATCAATATGACTTGATAAAGAATGATTGAACAGGCTCACATAATATCTCAAAGGAGCACAAGATCAAGATACCGCCATACAACTGACTGGAAAATACCAGGTGCCAAGGTTACAAAAGGAACTTCCAAATTTTGAATTCAAGAACTTCCAAATTTTGAATTCAAATGTCTCATACCACAGGATTGAAAAGGAAGAATCAAGTGGTCACTCATAACAAGATAAACAGAGGTTTTGTTAAGTTAATGTGCTTGAACATACATAAATTTTTTCCTTGACCATGTGTTATGTAAGCTTAGATTGACAGGACAGGTTGCTAGATTCGTACTCGAATTGTGCATGAAAAAAGTTCACAAAGCACAGTTGTACACTTACACACAATTTTAATAGTAATACATTAACTATCTTTTGTCGTATTTCAGAAATGAGCACATAAACTTCAATTACACACTTACACCTGTTTTGCGCGATAGGCCATTATCTTTATCCTATTTCTAGAATGAGATCATAAAGTTCTATCACTCAATTGCGCCTGTTTTCAATGGTTATACATTCCTTTTTGTCGTTTTACTATGACGTTAAGCTACCTCCGAAAGTTTTGCACATTAACCAGGCGTCACGTGTTACAAACAGAATTTAACTTCAACAGCCTCATTAATATTTGGTCCGTACATATTCTGTAATGTGGTTAGCTAGAAAGCAAACTAATATCTACTGAACAGTGAACATTGGAACCGTGATCCAAACCCAACCAGCACTTCTTCAAAGGTCAATGCCTTTATTACTAACCTCTGAACTAAAAACCTCATCTGGCTGGACATTTTGCGTTAGTCCTATCCTTGACTGTACAATGATTTGTTTATATTGTTTCTCCATGCAGATAAAATGATTCCTTATCAAAACAATAGTATAAAAGTCAAGGTGAAGCCATTTTCTCAACAGATTTACAAACATTGCTCATACAAAATCCAAACAAGGCATAATTCACCACGGAATCATTCCCATCCTAAGGCAAAAGGCAAATCCCAAACCACTCGACCAACACCGTATAAAAATACACAAATTGCAGACGAAAAAAATAAAGAAACAAACAAACAAAGATCGAGAAACACAAATCGGCAATCCAGCGAATCAATCACTCCGAGGCGCAATGACATCGAATCTAGGGCACAAAATAAAAAGACAATCAAAGAATAAATAAAATCGGATTCATTACCGTCCACGCAAACTCGACTACAGATGCCATAGGAGATGAAGGTAGCGGTCTCGAGTTGATCTCCCAAGGATGAGCGTCTAGAGTGTTCGGAAGAGGCTCTACAATGGCTAATGGTGAATGATAGACGACAGTCTGTCACGGGGGAGAGGGAATCTCAGCACTCATATCTGAGACAGTTCTTACACACACATATATATATATACGTACACACACATACACACAAGCATATACATACATATATATAAGTGTATCTATATATCTACACCTGCATTTGGATTTGTGGTGTGACACTTGATTTCGTGGTTGATTGCCATTTTCCAATTTTGCCCCTTCCTGTCAATTTAATCAATTTTTGACCAAAAGCACCGTTAGCTCGACAGATTCGTACCGTTCAATATTTTAAATGGATTAAATTATTTAATTTTAATCCAATTTATTTATAATTGTGTCAACTTTGTATAGACCTTGTATGGATAATTGAGTCGAAATTTTCAATTTAAATTCAATTATTACTTTAACGTGTTATTGTGTGTGATGTTAATAGAGTGTAACGAGTATAATGAATTAAGTTAAATTATTTAAAATTAAATTTAATTTAAATACTAATTATTAAATTAGAGTTATTTTACCTAAAGAAAACATATATTAACTAATATTAATGTATTATAATCGTTGTTTTCGTGTCGAGTTTGAATTGAGAACTTCAATTCTAATTTGATCTATTTATTATCACGTCGGTGTATCAATCCTTATGCGTAATCAAATTGAAATCATTGACTCAAATTATTTCGTGTCAGATTATCTTGTTTTTTTGCCAACTCTTTTAAGCACATTAACGTTGAATTGCTCAATCTCAGCTATGCTAATTTCATTTTTAAAGTTACTTCACGGAGTTTTCTAAGAGTTAGACTTTAGATAGTTCTAAAAATTATTCAATTTTAATAATTTGATGAAATCCTAAAACTTTTTTTTATTATAAATTTTAAAATTTATGAATTTTTCTTTTTTAAAAGAATTTTTAATTTTTTTAAAATTTTAACTTATTTTACTTTATCCATACATTCTCTTGTTTATTATTCATCTTCTTGGTACTCTGATTTAAGATAATTTTCTTTTATTTATTTATTTATTTTTATTTTTGTTTTTTGTTTTTGTATTGTTTGTTTAATCTAAAATATAAATATATATTTATTGAATATTTTATTATATTTCTCATAAAGTTTATATATTTAGTAGAGAAAAAGAAAAAAAATTATAGGTTTAGAATATCTTATTATTTTATGAAATATTAGAAAATCTTCTGTATATATATATAATATTTATAAAAACTTTATATCTATCATACTTTATTTTTGTATTTTATTATTCTTTATTCATATATATATATTTTGAAGATATTGATAATCTTAATATGAATTTTTATCATTTTTTAAGAACCTTTGTGTGCTCTTTCATGAATGTATTATTATTATTATTTATTATTTTTATTCCACATAAAATGTCTATATATTTTTATTTATTTATTTATTTTTAAAAAATATGATTATACACTTTAATCACATTTTAAATATTTTTTAATTTTTTAATTTTAACTAAATTATTTAATTATTTTAATTTTAATTTATAGTTATTTTTATAATACAATAATTATTTTTACTGATACATTTTAATTACTTGCTAATTGGATTTTATATAAATTTATGTATCTACAATAATGCAAACAATAATGCAAACAATTTATCCGAAACGCAGAGAATATACGTCGAATATCAATAGCAATATTGATATTTTATTATATTGGGATAAAAATTTGACGGGAAATATAGGTACAATATAATAGAATTATGATCCAAAATATATGATTTTTATTAGCATAATACTAGATTCGAAAATTTAGAAGGTATCATTTATGATTTGATCGAAAAATATTGACGATAATACCTTATTATTTTGAAAATATCATATAGTTCGGCGTATGGCTAGGATATTCAAAAATCAAAATTAATTACTATTACTGTGGTCAATCTCGAGTATATTTCAAATTCAATCAATCTCACGAGTGCTTGAAATTATTTGTTGAATTCAAAATAAATATTAAAAACTACAATGGTTGATAATTCTAAGTACAAATTACAATAAAAGATGAGCCAATAAATAATATGAGTCAATAAATGATATTTATTTATATTAGATAATGATTGTAAAGAATTCGGTCGGGATGAATGTAGCAAACCAAAATCAACATCAAACTCGGACAATAAAATAGCGAAAAAATTAATGATAGATACAATATATATATTATTGCAAAATGGAGAATCATCCTAATGTCATGAAACATGTACAGTATCACTCTTAGGAGGTGAGACTTAACATCCCTCAACTAAAATATTTTTAAATTTTGTAGTGGGATAATTTTTAACAATGCACATACGACGTTCCGAACTGAAAATGAAATGTCTACACAAAAAAATAAAAATAAATAAAAACTCAAATCAAAATAGCATAAAATCTCTCAATGGTTTGTCGAATTTGCTGAAAATCCCCGTGCTCTGAAAATTCCATAAAACCTACCCGTGGTTTCTAAGATGTTGCAGAAAATCTCCCTTCCGTTAGAATTTAACAGTGATTGAATGTCACGCACGCTGCGATTTTTTGTGCAAAAATTGATATATCACTACCTAATATTACAAAAATACCCTAAGATATTTATAAAGATTTTTTCTCTCTCCTTCACTCTCTCTTTCTTTTCTGTTAATCAATAATTTTCTTCATCAGGTTTTATCCGTCAAGATTGAGTTTTTTTTTTTTTTTTTTTTAATTAATAAAATTGTGAGATTTTGATTTCTACTTAATCTTCCCCAAATTTTAGCGCTACATATAGGTTGTATTTCTTGGCGACGTTGATGCACGAGAACAAAGAATCAACAATTAGGACAAACTGTGATGTCGGGTAAGATCTTCTAATCCTCCCAATCACCTCATTATTGGAACAGTCGGTGAAATCGTTAATCAAGCTCTTACTAAACTCCTCGCTCAGATGTCGTTCGAAATCGAGCAGGAAGCCGTCGGAAAATGTGGCGCACTATATGTCGATGCTAGAGTCGCCGGAGAAATTGAAATTGAAATTGAAATCGAAGTCCGCGGATTTCGATGCAGTGTTGTGAACAAATTCAGTAAGAACACAAGTTTCGTTGTGGAACTTGTTTGGTTCGCCTAAGAGAAACTGGTTTTGAGGTTGGAAAATGGAAAATAAATTAATTTAACAATTTAGGTTTGTTTTTTTTAGATTTTTTTTTAATAGATAAAATGACTAAGATAGAGAAGGAAGACGAAGAAGAATTAGACAGCAAAGGAAGAAGATGTAGAAGTAAGGAAAAAAATAAAAAAATAAGTGGGGGAGAAGAAGAAAGTGCAGAGGTGTACAGGGAAGAAGAAGAAGAAGAAGGGTGATTTAGAAAAGGCATAACGGTCTGTGTAAATATTTAACACCGTGTTTAAAAGGATGGGCGAGTATGCAATTTTTTCGAAATCATAAATAAGTTTTATAAAATTTTCGGACTACGGGGGAATTTTTAGCTAATTCGGCAAACCACGGGGGATTTTATGTTATACCCAAATAAATAATTCAATAACAATATTAACAACTATTGAAATCAACAATAATAATAGGGTAAAACAATCAAACCAAACAAATTTAGAATAAAATAGTAAAAAACTTGCATAATTTCTTACGTATAACCGCCGCACTCGTAACTTTTAAAAATGGATAAAATTATATACAATAGATATTATCAGATTAACCAATACTCTACTAATTACAGTCTGTCAAAACAAAATATAATAAATAAAAATTTTAAAAAAAAATGGTAAAGTATATATAAAGCATTGGGTAAACAATCTCAAAGTGATGATAAAATTGGAAATGAATTAATAAAAAATAAAAAGATAAATTGCATAGTGCCTACCTGTATTTCATTATAATGCATAAAATAATTATATTTTTGTTGATGCAGATTTTTAACAATAAAAAATAACATTCGGAAATATAAACTATCTTCGAATTTGATACAATAAATGCTTGAGATTAAGAATACCTAGACACCGTACGATACATAAGAAAAATGAAAAGAAATACTACATACGGTAAAAAAGTAAAAGGATGATCCCCAAAGAAATTCACTAAATTTGATGTCCATGGAAGATACCTTCTTTAGGTCGTGACAAAGCCTATTAAAACCTATGTCAACCGCCACAACCAGGTCGTGCCTTCATATCCGCTCCCCAGTTGTAACTTCTTTCAACCGTCTTAGAACTACTTTTCACCCGACCTACATATCCACTGCTACGTCCCCTCTCGCCGCCTTTCGCTTGTCCGACCTCCGTATCGGTCGTCTCATCTTTATTTACCCGACTTCCTTTTGTCCGACCTCCATGCCAACCGACCAAAACACCTACTGTCTTCTTTGTCCGATCTCTCCTTGTCCGACCTCTGTATCCACCGACCACCTAATCACCGGCTTTCTAAAAGAAATCCATTTATTAATAACGCTTGGGCTATTGGACTTATATCCGAACCTATTTAAGACCCTACTACCATTGATAAGCCCATTGGGTTATACATCGATCCGTAGCCCAATTGATATCCAAAAAAAAAAAATAATATTTGTTATTGTATATTAATTCACAGGGAATTTTATTCGAAAATCAGTGAGTAGAGTTTTTATAGAAGAATGGTCAGATATAGCAATTATGTGGTTGTAGACCCTGGATAGTTATCACAATTATTTATACTCTTTTTACTGGTGAGTTTCCAGGTCGAACACAGGGATTTAAAGTCATGAATTTCAAAGGTAAAAATCTTGGAGAAGCGACGAAGAGACAAAAAGAGGTCCGCTTGGAGCGGGACTAAATTTTCTACTACAGAAAGCGGTAAATAAAACAGTAAAAGATGAACGGGGGCGAGCGAAGCGAAAGCGAGAGGATTGGGATGTGAATGAGCGGCATATTATATGTATATGTATATGAGCGAATTTGAGTGGAAAAGAGGTGTTGTGTCTGAACTGTGCGTTACGAAATGGGTAGATTTCCCTGGATGCAGCGAGCGAGTGATGAAATTGTGTTATCGGAAGTATATATGTATATTACGAAAATGATGATAGAAGGATGTTGTAATTATATAAACTCGATTA